CGTCGTGACGTCATATAACCCGCTCTACATGTTGCGTTTCATCTTGGTACTGTGTAGAGTATCTATTTTGTTTCGTTTTAGTAGAGGTTTTACGGCGCTCGCAACTGCATAAGGTCATATGAGCGCCAAGGGGTGGTTGTCAACTGAGAAGTCCTTACAGGGAATCAAGACTTACTCTGCTCACCTATAGCTTAAACAGCACAAAGTCTGCTTTCACTATCAAGGCACCCCGGAAAATAGCGGGTCACAAGAGTGTGACAAGCCTACAAAACAAAAGTAGAAGAAAAAGACTATAGTAAAGATTAGGAAGGAAAAGGCAGCAGTTCCCTGTTGTAGTTCAGTCACAGTTACGAGCAAGACATTGTTGGATCAGCCCATTTATAATGCTACTGTGCATTAGAAAGAGAAATGCCTGTCCCCCCCCCCCCCCCCCTTTGGGAATGGCTTAAAGACACTTCAGCTAGTGGCACATCCCCGGGCGTAGAGTATCTATGAATGCGCGTTGACCGGCTCTCCAAAACTGCCTTTTTTTGGTAAGAATCACTAGTTTCATAAATGCTGTTAAACATCTGACGATACACATGGAAAAAAGACACACAGTTACATAGGAGAGATTAATTCTAAACTCTCTGGCAACACAAATGATTAAAAGGTTGTTATGATAAAATATTTAACTAAATCATTATAATGTAATAATAATATATTATCTTGTTCCTGTGCCCGCGGTGGGTGCCTGATGTTTGAAAAATCAATTTGTAAAGAGTAAACTTTTCGTGGGTTACGTGCTTAATGTGAGGTTTAGCGCTATTATATATTATTAGCTGGGGCCCCTTTCGATGAAAGGAATGATCGGCGGTGTCTATACGTCCTTATACTAACCGTTCTCTGACCGTCTAGGCTGGTACTTTAATATCAACTAAAAGTCATTGGCCAACAATATTTACACTCTAAAGGAATGGGGCAATAAATCTTCAGAGATGCAAAAAATTATAAGGTCTAGATCTATACTCTCAAAACAAAACGCGCCTCGCGAAATATCACTTCCGGATTGTCTAAAATTACAGAGACAGAAGCGTCGGCCTACAAAAGCGATCGACGAAATAAAGAAATTTAGCTTTTTGCAGCAAAACTGTCTCAAAACTGAAAAAACCAAGGGCGCCATGCTCTGGAGAATATTTTAAAGAATTTTTTGGCAAAAACTGCAGGTCGATCGATGAAGCCATTAAAAAGCCTTTTGAATAGCAAAATTCGGCCACCACAAATAGATAATAGATTACTCCGCCTTTCTGCTGCGACGTTGTAGTATCCCTTTAAGAACGGCCTTGAGGGGGGAGGGAGAGAGAGCAAGAGAGAGAGAGAGAGAGAGAGAGAGAGAGAGAGAGAGAGAGAGAGAGAGAGAGAGAGAGAGAGGGCGAAAGAAAGTGAGTGAGTGAATGACAGGCAAACAGACAGACAGACAGACAGAGATAATGAGAGAAGAACAGAGAGAGATAGTAAGAGAAAGACTAAGAGATAAAATGAGAAAGCAAAGAGTGAGATGAAGTGGGGACGAATGAGAGACAGTAGAGGTAGAGAGGGGGGGGCAGAGATAGGGAGAGAGCGAGAGAGAGAGAGCGAGAGTGAAAAAGAGAGAGAGAGAGAGAGAGAGAGAGAGAGAGAGCGAGAGAGAGAGAGAGAGAGAGAGAGAGAGAGAGAGAGAGATGTGGGCTGGGGATAAATAGGTCCTGACCCTCGATCGTGATAGAGGTTAATATAATACGCTATTCCACTATTCACCGTTAGCAGTATCTGTGATGACAAAGAAGGCTGTCTTCGCCAATGTCACCAAGATATAGACATAATACAAAAAGAAACAGATTGAAAGAAGTACAAAGGTTTCATTTAGAAGTAACGCAGAGAGAGAGAGAGAGAGAGAGAGAGAGAGAGAGAGAGAGAGAGAGAGAGAGAGAGAGAGAGAGAGAGAGGGGAGTACTAAGACGTACATTAGAAAGGACGTGCGGGGAGGTGTCTAGAAAAGAAGAGAGGGGATTATTTCTGGGTATGATTACTTCCTTATTCCAAAGGATTGTTAATTGATTAGTTTTAGTAAGAGTCTTATGGCATTCGCAACACAATAAGGTCATATAAGTGCCGAAGATTAGAGGTGTTACAAGAGAGTAACAAACACACACAAAAAAAGAAGGAGGGGAGATAAAGACGACAGATGTTTGATAGGAAAGACGAAGCAAACCAAACAAGAACACCTGCCAACCACCCACGGATTGTTAATTGATTGTCCTGAGTGTAAAAAACCAACAACAACAAACAAAACAAAACAAAAACAAACAAACAAACGCAAAAATACCCACACGTAGCTCGAATGAGGAAAGAAAACTGAACACAAATACCTAATATTATTATGCAGGTAAATTTTCTATTTATTTTTGTCTACACTAGTTTGGACAAAAATGGCGTGAATGTGAGGTTAAGAGGAAACTTTACCTCGATAGCGAGCACTTTT